TTTGGAAAAACAATGGTGAATGTGAATTATTTGATAGTACCAAAATTAGAAACATTTTCTCCTTTTCAATCAATTCTATTTCAAGAGTGGCAGTAGCAATTGATGATATATAATTATTATACCAAATAGTTTGACTAAAGATTCTTGTAAAGCTCGCCTTGTTTTAGAGAACTTTGGCACCATTTTTCGTCGAGCGTTGTTCGCATTTTTTCCAATAAAATCTCTGTTTTTGCACCTGGTCGGTAACCTTAAACTTTTAGACTGCAATTCAATTCAATAATATCAATATTCTGATTCGAATTAGAAGTTTTACTACTAAGGGTTTTGTGCCAAAGCCAAGCCATGTATTAATGTATATTGTAAAACACAGATGAGTAACTATCACATCACTACAATCTTTGTAACGTAATTATTTATAACTTTAATGACTTCATACGATTAAAATTTTTAGTTAAAACTTATTTAATTTTAAATATAAATTGAATTTCATTTTAACCCAAAAATTTTCGAAAAGTTCACTATTTTGTTTAGTTGTTGCAACTTTATTGCGCTTAAGTACCTCTATTATATATTTATAAATTATTTGAACGGCACGTTGTTATAGAGGAATTAGACGCGTTACCTTCTTCGTGCAAAATAAATGCTGTATTGAAGTAATAATAAATGTTTGTTGAGATTAATTGCTTATAAATCAGCAGAAAAACAGGACTCAATTTATATTGCAATATTTATCGTTTTTCGGATATTTTTTTAGTGAACCGTGAATATCGAAGCCCACTGGGCCTCCCATAGTATTCCCAACACCTTCAAAAGGATTCAGTACAGAATACACGAGAAAGCAAAGCACTGTAAATTTCTCTTACCTGTTATTTTTGTTGTTTACAATTTTATCTTTTATGCTATGAAAAAATCTAAAAAATGTACTTTTGTGGGTGGTTTTTTAAAAAGAATACTTCTGCTCTTATCCTACATTTATTTTTAATTTCCTATTATAAAATTTAACTAAGTCTATGTAGTTATTATTATTATTATTATTATTATTTAAACATTAAATGATGTTGATTAAAGTTTGAAACATTAAATTTTTTAGTAATGAAAAATTGTATCAGAACACATACAATTTTTTACAAATATTAATTTATAATATTATTAAAATGCTTGAAAATTACAAATATAACACACAAAAATTCTTCAATAACGTGCGTATAATCCAACAAGTTCAATTTCATCGTGAACTCATTCAAAATACAAATATTCATTCAAGCATTGACCTGAATTCGTATTGACGTTCCAATATAGAGAAACTGATTAAATTTCAAAATAAAACCATTCTTTCTTTACACAATAATTACTTCAGAAAAACTATCCCTACCAATTCAAGATCACTCATTAGTGGAATTGTATACCGCAAGTATTGAACTAAACGTCACCGTCAGTCACAAACACGAACTGCATGTCACTGTTTAATCATTAAAAAGTTTATTTCACATAATTATTGATATTTTTTGTTATTTGTTGTTTGGCCCGGATTCCACCCGGTTCATTCTGAAAACGGATGCGAACTGCCTCTAATTTTGATCCTAGAGTCCTATGGACCCGAGACTTTGTGTTAAGGGATGAGGAAGAGCCGTAGCGCGCATCCTCTCGATGGTTATACAGGGAGTTTCGCGATATTCTGGAGTACATAGGAAGGGAAGAACGCGTAACTACAGCTCGTTGATTAGAAGATATCAATGATGCATAAATTACCATAGAGTTAGAATAGAGTAGAACTAATATTTGTGTTCCTGCCATATGTTACTTTGGAGTTTAGAAGGTAATTTTTTGAATTTTCACAGAAAATTAAATTTTTTTGTTTTTATTTATTTAATAATTTTATATGAAGAGGTTATAGAACTTTGTTCCTAGATAATTTGATTTTGGTACTTAAATGCACATGTTCGATGCACTGTCTTTGAAAAAGCAATGTAATTTGTTTTGTTAACATTCAAAAACAATTTAAAATAATCCAGCCAGTTTTTGACATGTTCCATTCCAGCTATAGCTTCCCACTAACACTGTATCATCAGTATATGATACAGCTTTACCTTGAATATCAATCTGAGTTAAGCTCTTAATGTATAAATTAAATAGTATAGGTCCCAGGACAGTCCCTTGAGATACTCCGATTTGTATATTTTCACTCACATTGTCTCTGACCTTTACCTTCTATTGTCTGTGTGCTAAATAATTTTCAAAAACCTTCAACACGATGTCCCTCACTCCGTTCTGTTCAAGAACATTTAAGAGCTTCTGATGTGGCACCGTGTCAAATGCTTTTGCTAGATCTAGAAATATAGCTATACACTTCAGTAACATATGAAATCAATTCATGCATAGCATCTCCTGAGTTAAGACCCTCAGTAAAGCCATATTGGTGCTTGGAAGTAAGTAATTAATTTTTTTCAGATCATTTTTGTTTTGGCTTATTTTATTGTTATAATAGTAATTTTTAGTTTGTTTAAATTATTTCTAAATGTTTTATAGTAAGTTTGTTTGTTAATAGTATAAATCTTTTTAAAGTTTATCCCCAGTTTTAATAGAATTAATTAAACAATTTGTTTTCCATGGCTTTATTTTTTTATGGATTTTAATTTTAATATTTTGAGTTGTTTGACATGTTTCAATGATATTAAGATACGTGTCATAAAAATTGTGTTTCCCAGTTTACAGTTTTGAATTTTTGTTTTGAGATTCCCGTTTGAATCGGACCAATAGCAGTGAAGATACATGCCAAGGCCTTTCTGGCTTTTCGTTCTGCTCATGTTTTTTCTGTTTGACGTTAATCTATACCACGTCCTCTACATAATGTCGTTTTTCCCGTTTGAATCGGACTAGTAATATCAGAGAAACACGCTAAATCATACTCCTAATACTGAGAAACTAAAAAGAATAAATAGAAAGTTTAATTTATTTTAGGACTAATTGCATTTTTTCTAATTTTTCTAAATCCCAGACATGTTTTCTATCTAAAATCTCTGTTTATTTCAATTCTTAATTAATTGTGAACCAAAGTCTCATTGGCGTACATTTTTCTGGCTTTCTAATATCAATTTACTGTCACATAAAAAACACTCTGAGACTGTACCATTAAATTATATTTTAATAAATCATTTTTGACAAAATGTATTATTTAATAGCAGTAATATAATTTAATAAAGTAAGATTGAAAAATATGCTGTATACTTGTTTTTAATAGGTAGAAAATATGAAAATTTTATTAGAAATATATTACAAAAATGTTATCCTTTATTGGAATAATAAATAAAATAAACAAAAGTTGTTTTTCTTCTCTATATTTTTATATTTCGCCCTAAAGCGTTATTCTGAACATCTTTTATTAATAATTTTTTTATATATCTTATATCTAATAAAGGTTACGAATTTAAAAGAAAAATAATGCTGTACAGCAGCAATTTCATTTATAAATTGGTAGTTCTCCTTCTACTAATCCTATTTTTTTTTTCTAGATCTGATGTAATCTTAGAACATTAATGTAATAATGGTTTCAGAATGAATTTACTCGAATTTTCTGAAATAATTGATAAAGCTCTTAATGATCATAATTTTATGTTTGATTGAAGTAACTAAATTCAAGGATAATTACATTTTTTTTTCTTTCATAGATTTATAAATGTATAGAGTTTTGTTTTATTTGTGTTGATTTTTAACAAACGATTGCAACTCCATTTATGAACATTTTGTAGAGTTTTATTAACAATTCTTACTAAGTTATCTGAATCCTTACAACTTACAAGAAACATAGATAAGGACATCATTAGTAAACAGGTGAATGTTATATTGACCCTTGTGATATCAACAATGTAATTGATATAAATTAAAAATAACAGGGGACTATTTAATATGAATCAAATATCTCAGCTCCTAGACATAGAAACATGTTTTTTTTTCTAGCATAAGTTGGGTATAAATACCACTTTAACTTGTCCTAAAAGATTTTAAAAGAAATTTTAACTTCATAAGATAGAAAAACAAATTGCTCTCATTTTCATTGTTTTACAATATAAGATACAAATTTAAAAAATACTGGGATTAAATTTAAATGATTTAACTTTCCGTAAGTAGGTATTAATTATTATAATACTTATTCTAAGAAGTAGTTGTTTGATTTTAAAATTCATAATGTTCATAGATTAAGGTTGTAATCTTTTTAAAGTATTAAGAAATAAAAATAATTTAATTTTGACTACCTGCATTCTATGAAAAGTGAGTTTCATTCTCATCAGAGAAAAGAATTATGAACATCACAGTCACAAAAGATTAAATTTTTAATATTTTGATTTATTTCCATTACGATTTGGTTCTTGAATATTTCTATTTCATATTGAGTGGTACAAAAGAATCCCCGTACTCCATGCGATTGTTTGGTAAAAAAAAAATTGACAGACAAACAAGGAATAGCTACCCAAACAATTGAGTAGGGACGGCATACAAAACGAAGGTGTGGCTATAAACAAATTTCAAGAAGAAACTGGCAAAACAGTTATACCATCAGGGTTATTTGTTCCTAGGTGCATCACCTGATGGTAAGCGATAATTATTTACGTATTATAACAATAGTTTAATAACTAGACCTAGGAATATATGTATCCAATCTCTCTCTCTCTCTCTCTCTATCTTGTTCTTTTTTTTCTTTCGTTTTAACTTTTTCTCTTTATTTCCATGAAACAAATTGTAAAAATAGTAAAAAATGTAAAAAAATTGTAAAAAAGAAATTCTAAAAAAATTGTAAAAAAATTGTAAAAAAAAATTGGAAAAAAAAATGATAAAAAATTGTATAAAAAAAAAAAAATAAAAATTGTTACTAAAAAATTGTCTCTTAAAATTTATTCTTAAAAGTATTGTTAGTTTTTTTATAATAAATTTGTGTCACCATTATTATTTATAAAATTATTGTTTCTTAAAATTATTGTTACTTTAAATAAATGCTTTATACATACATGATAAGTAGTATCGTCTAATGGAAAATAATTTCTTACCTGAAAACAAACAGAAAACTATGAAAATTTTTAAAAATATTATAACAAAATGAATATTATTCAACTATTCTGCATACAGATCGGTCCATTAAAAAGCTGATACTTTTAATTTTACCGAGAAAATTTGCAACTATTCCTGCATTGTCATCATTTCCTACTTGATTTAATTATGAAAACGACTGGATAGATGGTAGATTTTATGATATTAAAACAAACAAAAAACAGAAATGCTGAAGAGAGAATTAATGATGAGGGTATTCATGAATTGTTTTGCATATTTTCGTACACGTATGTAAATAATTTATTTACCTAATATGGTTAAATTTGGTTGGTTAAGCCTTAGATATTTTTATTTTATTAATAATTGTGTTTTATTTGGCTTCATATCACAAATGTAAAAATATATGAAACTACTAAACGACCGTTTGTAATGTAAATTTTCCTCTTAATTCACAGTAGAAAAAAAAATGTCGGTTGTTGAAATTAATATCGTGCATGTTAACAATTCTACTTTGAAAAATAATAATGTCACTTAAAATATTATCATTGTATAAATATATCTAGTAAGTCAATGCTTATAAAGAAAAAGTTTTATGTTTTATTTATTTAAAAATGTACAATAATGGTGTATTATTAAACGAGCAATTTATGGTAGCCATTATTCACGCAGGGTGACGTTTGCGTCCCGAGCCGTAGGTGAGGGGCGCAAGTCACCCGAGTGAATAATAGCCATAAATTGCGAGTCTAATACTATACTTTGTCCACGACCATTATGGTTTCTTTATTAAATAAAAGTTAAGTGTGAATGGAAAGTTTTTATTAAACATAGGTAACTAACTGTTGTTTTTTCGATTTTTCTATTTTTCGATTTTTCAATTTTTCGATTTTTTTTCGATTTTTCGTTTTTTTTTTTTATTTTTCGATTTTTTTTTTCGATTTTTCGGTTTTTTTTTATTTTTCGGTTTTTTCCGATTTTTTCGATTTTTCAATTTTTTTTTCGATTTTTCGATTTTTTCGATTTTTCGATTTTTTTCGATTTTTCGATTTTTTTTTCGATTTTTCAATTTTTTTTTCGATTTTTTCGATTTTTTTTCGATTTTTCGACTTTTCGATTTTTCGTTTTTCGATTTTTCAATTTATTTCGATTTTTCGATTTTTTTCGATTTTTCGATTTTTTTCGATTTTTCGTTTTTTTTTTTTGATTTTTCGATTTTTCGTTTTTTTTTATTTTTCGATTTTTCAATTTTTTTTTCGATTTTTCGAATTTTTTTTTTTCGATTTTTCGATTTTTTTTCGATTTTTTCGATTTTTCGATTTTTTTTAGATTTTTCGATTTTTTTTTTCGATTTTTCAAATTTTTTTTTCGATTTTTTCGATTTTTTCGACTTTTGGATTTTTTGATTTCTCGATTTTTTTTTCGATTTTTCGAATTTGATTTTTTCGATTTTTCGATTTTTTTCGATTTTTCGATTTTTCGTTTTTTTTTTTTTTTTTTTTTTTTTGATTTTTCGATTTTTCGTTTTTTTTTTATTTTTTGATTTTTTCCGATTTTTTCGATTTTTTTCGATTTTTTTCGATTTTTCAATTTTTTTTTCGATTTTTCGAATTTTTTTTTCGATTTTTTTTTTTGATTTTTCGATTTTTCGTTTTTTTTTTATTTTCGATTTTTTTCCGATTTTTTTCGATTTTTCGACTTTTCGACTTTTCGATTTTTCGATTTTTCCATTTTTTTCGATTTTTCGATTTTTTTTTCGATTTTTCGTTTTTTTTTTTTTATTTTTCGATTTTTTTTCGATTTTTCGTTTTTTTTTTATTTTTCGATTTTTTCCGATTTTTTTGATTTTTTCGATTTTTTCAATTTTTTTTTCGATTTTTCGAATTTTTTTTTTCGATTTTTCGATTTTTTCGATTTTTCGATTTTTCGATTTTTTTTAGATTTTTCGATTTTTTTTTTCGATTTTTCAAATTTTTTTTCGATTTTTCGATTTTTTCGACTTTTGGATTTTTTGATTTTTCGATTTTTCGATTTTTCGATTTTTTTCGATTTTTTCGATTTTTTTTCGATTTTTCGTTTTTTTTTTTTTCGATTTTTCGTTTTTTTTTTTTTTTCGATTTTTTTCCGATTTTTTCGATTTTTTTCGATTTTTTTCGATTTTTTTCGATTTTTCAATTTTTTTTTTTTTTTTCGATTTTTCGAATTTTTTTTTCGATTTTTCAATTTTTTTTCGATTTTTCGATTTTTTTTCGTTTTTAGATTTTTCGATTTTTTTTAATTTTTCGATTTTTTTTTTCGATTTTTCAAATTTTTTTTCGATTTTTCGATTTTTTCGACTTTTGGATTTTTCGATTTTTTTTTTCGATTTTTTCGAATTTTTTTTCGATTTTTTTCGATTTTTTCGATTTTTCGTTTTTTTTTTTTTTTATTTTTCGATTTTTTTTTTCGATTTTTCGTTTTTTTTTTTATTTTTCGTTTTTTTTTTTTTTTTTTATTTTTCGATTTTTTCCGATTTTTTCGATTTTTTTCGATTTTTTTTTCGATTTTTTCATTTTTTTTTTCGATTTTTCGAATTTTTTTTTTTCGATTTTTCGATTTTTTTTATATTTTTCGATTTTTTTTTCGATTTTTCAAATTTTTATTCGATTTTTCGATTTTTTTTTTCGATTTTTCGTTTTTTTTTTTTTATTTTTCGATTTTTTTCCGATTTTTTTTCGATTTTTTTTTTCGATTTTTCGATTTTTTTTTTCGATTTTTCGATTTTTTCGATTTTTTTTTTAGATTTTTCGATTTTTCAAATTTTTTTTCGATTTTTCGATTTTTTTATTTTTTCGATTTTTCGATTTTTTTTTTCGATTTAACGATTTTTTTTCGATTTTTCAAATTTTTTTTCGATTTTTCGATCTTTTGACTTTTGGATTTTTCGATCTAGAAAATATCGTTATGAAAAGTATCGCCTATCTTTAGTTATCTATCGGAATGTGCCAGAATTACAAAAGCGTGAATTATCATAATTCACTCCGTGATATATGGGTACTATATGCTCTTAGTTAGGAGGTAGAATATTGATTTATTATTAAGTGGTCGTGGACAAAAATTATTATTATTATTTGAGATAATTATCTCAGGTTAACCTAGGTAATTTTTGCAGTATTCTCGGGTGCTGGTGCACCAACAGTATATGCTTGGATTCGTCTAATTTGTCTGTAAGCCAAGACATTTTCGGACAATATGACACGTGTCAAGCACCACAGATTTATTTATTTATTTGTGATAAGTTGTATTTTATATTCAGTTGTTCTAGATGTTTTGTAAGTGTAGGTGGCACAATTCCAGTTGCAGATATTACTAGTGGGTGTATTTTAACTATATTCACTCTCCATATTTGTTTGATTTCCGTAGCTAGTTCGAGATATTTATTAATTTTTATAGCATATGTGGTTTGGATATTATGACTGAGGGGTACTGCTACATCTATTATTGCTACTTCCTTCTTCTTCTGGTCGATTATATATTTCTTGGTGAACCAACTTCCTTGGTTTCGTTGACAAGTTTTCTGTAGAAACTTTATTACTAATTTTCTGTCTATTCAATAATTGAGGAATGTCACTATCGTGATTATCTATTCCATTAAGTCTTGAAAATGCTCTTCATAGTAAATATAATTCATTATTCGACTTCTGTTTAGGATTAATAGGGCTAGGGTCGCAACTGTCCCACTTAAATTTTATCATTATTCGAAATATCAAGAGAGGGGTTTAAAATGTATCGAGGGTTCAAATGTACGAGGCGCATCTGTCCCGACACCAATTTTATTTGTTATATGAGATTCTGCTTCTATACATATCACAGAAATGGATGAGGTTTCAATTAATGCCTTTAATACTCTCGATTCTCATTATTTATATTATAATTAACCAAGGGTTTTTCGAAATCATCAAAATTAATTAAATTCGTAATTGGTTTTGTGTGGTTGATGTTTTTCTGGATACAATTCCTATAGTCTATTTTTATGTATGAGAGAGTATTAAAATAATAAAGCGTTCGTAATCCATAGGCGTGTCACTTCTTTTAGTAGACAGTTAAAATATTTTTTAAAGTTATTCCTCGAGTATACACACTTATATTTTCACCTAATTAATCTGCTTATAACTTCTAAACAGCTGAAGGTAAAAAAGTGCAATTTTTTCTAAAATGTTTTATTTTTCCACAAGGTATGTTAAGAACATTGTGTCAAACGGGTTATGTAGGTATAAGGGTTTAAACTTTGACTTTTAAACAACGTTACGTTCATAAATATAATTTTAATATAAAAACTACTTCTTACCTACAAATCAAAATCAGAATCGAAATCAGAAGATGAACTGTCGCAACCAATATTTACAATGAGTGGCTCGATCATTTCATCAGTAATATTGTCCAACTTCCACATTTTCTCTTCTTCTTTAATCGTATGATTTACTGCCTTTTCCCAGTTTTCAGGCTTCACATTATTTACAGCCTCCAAAAACAACTGTTTAACATCACTCATTTTAAAAAATTATTTTTTCTTGAAACTTCTCCCTTTATCTGTGTCCATATCAGTTCAATCGGGTTTACTTCGCAATGATATGGTGGTGGTATCTCAGGGGTGGTCCCATATAAATTTGGTTAAGATTTGGTGATGGCATCTGCACGTTATTGAAGTCGGCTTTTTAAATTTTTAATTTCTAATACTTGTAGCCATGAAATCTACTGTTTTCGCCAAAATTTTGTTCCTAATTTATTGACGAAACCTCGTATACGACTGGTAAAATTTGATATCCAATGGTTGTATTTTAGGTTTTAGACCATGCTCGAGATTTTATAAAGAATAACTTTTTTTCTCTAATATTAATAATAAAAAAAGTTATTCTTCATAAAAAGTCGAACATATTTTAGGAAATTAAATTTTCTTGCGTTGGTCAAATTTGCCCCATTTCAAACTTTTTTATTATCGATTTTGTGAAAAAATTTATCTTATTAA